TTCCCTTCCCGTAAAAGTTGAAGATTTTCCAATGCAGATATTGCAACACATCATCATCATCATCATCATCATCATCATCATCATCATCGTCATCGCCATCATCATCATCATCATCATCATCATCATCATCACCACCATCACCACCACACTTGTTCTTCTGTTGCGCTTTTGATTTGTGTAGTATGAGTTGCGCCCCCGCCCCATGTCTTAACTAGAAATTTCAAGAAACTGTTTTGTATCTGAAGATGAAAACAGATGCGTACCATTAAATCAAGGAGAAAAGAAAAATGTAGTTTTGGTCAGTGCAGGTAGAGAAATCTGCGCAAGATGTTAGAAGTCCCCAAACTAATGATATTTTTTGCTGTTTATATATTTTATGGCTCCATTTTGATCCGGATATTTATTTAATCCTCTTGATATAATTCCTAAATCTCTAATAAAAACAACTAATGTTGGCTTAAGATGCCACATTCTACTCTTTCCTATCTTGAGGTCCTTTTAATTACTTAGATTCTCAAGCATTTTCAATAATGATTTTTGTCGGCTGCAAAACTTATAAGATGACACATTTTTTCAACTGGATTTGACACAATTATGTGTGGTCAATTTGCCTGGAGTTCCTTAATAGTTTGAATGCTAAAATTGAAGAGAATGGTACCCACCTCATTTTGTATAACTTGGGGCTTACTTTTCCATCAATTCTCTTTGGAAGGGAGTTTGCATGCAGGACACAATGACCAATGTATGCACTAAGCAATCCTATCAAGTCGTTGCAAGTAATCTGTAGGTGTCAATCGGAACGCTCAAATTATTATTATTATTATTATTATTATTATTATTATTATTATTATTATCGATTCTTTCATTTTCAAGTTCTGATCTTGTATTATAGGAGTTCTCTGTAGGATCACAAACAGATAGAAACTTTCGCAGAATATTTGAAGAACACAGAATACAGGTTTTTTTAAGCGATGAGATACTTTTTATTCTAATTTCCTTAATGTATGTCTTTAGGTCCGGTGTTATATACACAAACACCAAATGATAACTAGGAGAAGAGTAACCTGAACCATCGACATAATAGCAACTTCAATTCGCTCGAAGGTCAGTGTACTTTTGAAGATTTTTAATTTCGTTGAGCTTGATATTATGGCCACCAGGAACAGCCACATTGATGAGAAGGTATTTTCTTGATTTTTAATGACGGTTTGATGACCACAAGAAAGGAATCAGTTTGCATTTTGAAATTCCATAAAATCTTATCTTGGTTGTTTCGATCGGTTTCTCTAGTCTGTGACGGCACCATTTTTTGTTTATGCTTCCTTTATAGGCACAACTGTAGAGGAAAGGACACTTTATCATGGCGTAGTTTGTATTCTCACTGCGCAAACATACCCCGATCGCGAATTTCCACCTCCATGTCACGCTGACTGCACTTGTCCGAATTCACTAGTCGATAGATGTATTATCGGACATAATCATTATTCAGGGCTTGGTCTTGTGCGTCTAACATTATACTTTTAATCTTGCGTTTCAGTTCGCTTTTCGTCAACCATTTCCACGAATCGTATAGCTTTGGGATGCCTATAAAACTGTCCATAAATGGCATTGCCTTTCTTGATCTAAACTTCTCTTTCAGTACCCGCTTACTGTATTGATTTACGACCATATTACGATGAAAGACCGGTTCTCATACGAGCAGCGAAAGTAAACAATATCGTAAGTAACTAATGCGTTAATTTCATCTGTCCCTCTTGCCTTCAATCTGTTCTGTGAGTTTCAAATTTTCCAAGCTCTCATCCTTTGTTTTGTGCTCTAGAAATGTCAACTGTCTCTTTCTGCTGTGAAGTAATAGTGGCCATTTTGTTTCCATTTTCTTTTATAACATTTTCTAAAACTTCGTTGTTGCTCATCTCCTTAGTTCTTGCTATTCTCAGCATCCTTCTGCAGAACAATATTTCTGTTGCTCCGAGTCTCTCCTTCATCTGTGAGATTTCCCAGTATTCCCTGCCATAGAGGAGAACTGATATTACGTAACAATTCAGTAATCTTTGCTTTGTTTCTAATGAAATATTTATGATTTAGTATTTTTATATTTTAATAATTTCTGATCAGAATTTACAAAACGTAGATTATGTATGACGAATCATGCGATGTGCTGATAGCGAAAAATGTATTGCTCATAAAATGGAATCGGTGTATCGAGTCTGTTCCGTTCACTTACGAACTAATGCCTGTGAATTCGTTTTTTTTTCCGCTAGCTATAGGTTAAATTACAATGTAGACTAGTATCTTGAGCCTTGAGGTTTAGCATTTCTTTGAGCAGGAAAAAAATATCCATAACGCAACGTAAATCCACTCTGCTATTTTTCACTAAAATTTATAACAATTCACAGTTTTCTGATGTCAACGAATACTTGTTGCGGCAGAGACTTTGTAATCGTCGATACCACTATAATACGCCGTTGAACAATACTTGTGTCAGACGCCTTCGAATATCACTCGCTCTGATAGTACTTGCTCGATGATACTCGCTCGAATAGTAATCCGTATAGTGATCTGAATAAAGAAATAGCATAGAGAATAGCGAACCGTATAGCAATCGAGGATAGAATAGAAGTGCAGGTCATTTAGAAGTCACGTGACTTACAAATGCATTTCTTCTATGATTACTTAATTCAATAATGGGATCGCCTATGTTTGCTCGGTGGCGATCTATGTTCAAACTCAAGTGTCGGCAGCTACATTTGTATAACACATAGATAATAAAGGAATGCTGTGGAGAACTATGATCGCTTATGTTTTGAAGAGAAATAGCATAAAAAATATTCGGTATTGCATATATTGACTTGAGAATAGGAAAACATTTTGAAGGGAACAGTTTTTATGGATTAGTATTCATTAGGCCTTCCGCAAGCCACGACATTATTCAGAATATTAGAATCGAGATCATGTTCATAGTATAAACACAGTGTCAAATATATCCCTAAATTCATAAAATAATTGTTTCTACTTCCTTTTTATTTTGTTAATTGTGTCAATAAATGACTTGTAAATTTTAACGCCTCAAAAAGAAACTGATATTCTTTAATCATCATAGAGAGCCATTTTTATGCATCATCAGCATGGCCGATGCTAATTTCACGACGAGAAACTCATTGCATTTTCTTGGTTTCAGGTTTTCTACTGTCATGAAGCGGAGCGATTATATTGAATCAATTGCTAAAATCATTGGTTTACTATGTCATCAAAATCCATCTTGCACATTTATAAATCTACCGTTGATTCGTGCGTTGAATATTGATGCTATATCTGGTCAGGTCCCCCGGTTATAATCCTCGAGATTATCGACAAAATCCAAAGAATAGGGTGTTATGTTATTGATCATGAGCTGGCGACTCGACGTCAGTTACTTTCCAACCGCCATGACGTAGCTTCCGTCTGTCTTTTCTATAAATATTAGCAGTTGTTCTAATAGTATCTCCTCCTTGTTACCTTGGCCGTGTGAATTTAAACGTACTACTAGATTGGCTACTAGATCTCATCGTTTTACTGTTGAAATAACTCCATATAACCGTAATTTCTATTCTAATAGTTTCTTTTCTCACACGTCTCTCCTCTGGAACACTCTTCCGGATTCTTCAAAACTCTAAACGTAGCGTTACTCGCCATCTTCTGTTTTCGTAACGCCTGTATTTTTATTGTCCTTTCTACTCACTAAAATCTTCTCAGTCTTTTCCATTCCAATTAGCCATTTCGTTTTAGTACTTGGGATGAAATGATTTTAAAAATATCATATTTAAAAATGTGCTTACGTCATTACACTATTATGAATCGGGAAAAGAGACATGTTCAGTGGTATGCAGTTATCAATGACGCCTTTGTAAATAAATGGATACGTAGGTGTGGGTAATAGATAGCAGCAGGGAAGGAGAAAGTGTAGAGCCGAGTTCGAATTTCAATCCGATTTTTTACACTCCTGCGCCAATACCCCTGAAAAATTTGCGAATTCATCTTCTCCATCTAGATATTGTTTAAATAGTAGGAATATTATTTGGTATAATCATTGTTATTCTCTAAAAAAACTGTTAATGCAATATTGACTCGATAAAAGAATAATTATTCTTACAATACAAAATATGGCCCACCCAGAATTGATAAACCGTAAAAAAATCAATAAATCAGCATTTGTATATTGACACGTATAAGGCGAGCTATAGATAAAACGAGACCCAAAATCTAGGTAAATTTTCGAGATTTTATATGATATCCGTAGTATAAGACGACCAAAAACGTAGGCTAGCCAACGTATGGTACAATAGCCTATGCTGCCAGTAGCAGTTAAGCCTATTATCATGATTCCTACTAGGACAAAATAAAGCTGATGCTATTACAAATGTTGTTTTGCTTACCCTTAAATGATATAAAGTATTAACATGAATATTTATGAAAATAACAATAACGATTTATTATTATTATTGCAACTCCTTCTATGGCTTAAATATAACCTACTTACCAGTGCCGATATACGACAGGATTTACCGTTAGCTTTTTGTAACTGTTGTATTAGACGACCCCTATTTTTCGGGTAATTTTTAAGATTTAAAGGTCGCCTTATAAACAGAAATATACGGTATATAAAGAAATGCAATTTAAGAAATTAGTTATCGATATGACACTGTATTTATATTATAAACACCATCACGCATCTAAAATCTATATATTTCGATTCTGAAAAATGTGGGTCAAGGAAGGTCAGATGATTGCTAAGCTACAAAAATTATTGCTCCCACCACATCCTCACAAATTATCCCTGTTTTTTTTTACGTGTGAACCAGTGAACTTAGGTTAATGTCAAATAGTCTCCGAACAAAGTCTGTCTCTCATTTTATTCGTTCTTCCTCTATATATCTTTCTCTATATACCTATTCTTTCTTTCTTTCTTTCTTTCTTTCTTTCTTTCTTTTCTTTTCTTTTGTTTTTTTTTCCTTCATTTTCAGTTTTCTTTTCTTTCTTTTTTTTTTTTTCTTTCTTTCTTTCTTTTCACTTAATGTTTCAGTTTTTTTTCTTTCTTTCTTTTTTTTTTTCTTTCTTTCACTTACAGTTTCAGTTTTTCCTTTCTTTTTTCTTTTTCACTTTACTGTTTCAGTTTTTCCTTCCTTTCTTTCTTTCTTTCTTTCTTTTTTTCTTTCTTTCTTTCTTTCTTTCACTTAATGTTTCAGTTTTTCCTTTCTTTCTTCCTTTTTTCTTTCTTTCTTTCACTTACAGTTTCAGTTTTTCCTTTCTTTCTTTCTTTCTTTCACTTACTGTTTCAGTTTTTCCTTCCTTTCTTTCTTTCTTTCTTTTTTTCTTTCTTTCTTTCTTTCACTTAATGTTTCAGTTTTTCCTTTCTTTCTTTCTTTTTTCTTTCTTTCTTTCACTTACAGTTTCAGTTTTTCCTTTCTTTCTTTCTTTCTTACTTTTTTTCTTTCTTTCTTTCTTTCTTTCACTTACTGTTTCAGTTTTTCCTTTCTTTCTTTCTTTCTTTCTTTCTTTCTTTCTTTCTTTCACTTAATGTTTCAGTTTTTCCTTTCTTTCTTTCTTTTTTCTTTCTTTCTTTCACTTACAGTTTCAGTTTTTCCTTTCTTTCTTTCTTTCTTTCTTTCTTTCTTTCTTTCTTTCTTTCTTTCTTTCTCATACAATCCGTGCCTCTCGTGTTACCTATATTCTTCAGCGGATGTATGGGTAACGGTTATCGAAAACGAAATCGGCAAGTCGTGTTCAAATTCCATCCCCCTCTTTCACATTACGAAAGGCAAGAATTAATTTCTTAGACCGTTCCAAGCTATGTGCTAAATACCATTGTAGACTGAGCTCTTTAGCCCTGTATAAGAAAAGGACTGCTCTGAATTATAAATCATGAAGACGACAAGTAAAGACTACCCCGTTAAATTCTCGAAGGATCTATGGCAATTTACAAATACAAAAGAAGAAGGAATCTGTGAATAGTCATGTTCGCTGATGTCCTTAAATGGACAGAGAATTAAAAATAAAGTATAAGTCATTTAACTTATGCAACCACGATTTTCGGTGGGAGTAAATTGTATTTGGCGTACTGGTAGATTTGTGAAATATCATTCCCGCGAAATAACTCGTTAGACGGTTATTCCACCTCATCATTACTTCCATCACTTTTATTAACATTTATCATTATAGAGTCGGTCTATAGAGGTCGTTATTAAGAGCCGGTCACTCAAGTCCATGTGTAAGAATTTTTCTCGTTTGAGCGTGAACACACGCGTGTATGTCTGTGCTCCGCAGTGACAGTTGAATGAACAAAACCTAAGTCTTGAAATACTTTTTTAAAGAGCTTTTATTTATGGTTGAGAGAAGAGTAAAAACTCGCGTTATTTTGCGGGGAAAAAGAGTGGAATTTCCTTGTTAAGAAAGTTCTTCTCTAGTGTAGATCTTTTGTAGAGAGGGATTTTACAGTGTAAAAATGCTAGCACTGGTATCTTTCTTCTACACACAACCCACAAAACTCCACACAAACCTTGCTATAGCAAGGGTTGTGTATAGTTTTTTTTTCCCTTTGGGTAGGTGTCTAGAAAGTAGATTTCTCTACCTGTTCCCTCGAGGAACGAGAAAATCTGAAGTGAAGCTGCCAGGTCAGGCCTCGTGTCATCTGCAGTCCTTCGAGCTGCGACTTGAAGGATGCGGCGGCTTAAAAGAAAACGTAGAAAAGAGCTGGTCTTGAAGGTAGAAGCCGCTGAAAGGGAAAAATGAGAAAAAGGTCGAATAGGGCTATGTTAGCGTTTTTATGACTTCTGAGACTTCCGGTTGTACCTTGATGATTACTTTCGTTGCGGCTCTTGCTGAATTGAGCAAAGTGAATATGGCCCGGAATGTCGCAATGGCAAGTAAATGAGATAATTATTACACATGGGATTAATTCATGCCTCTTCCAAGGCGCTCTTATTGATACTCTTTCTGCTTTATATCAACTATCTGCCCAAATATATTCTCACGTAATTATTAAATATAAATAGGTTTTTTAATGTCCCTAATAAAAGCTATTAATGTTTTATCATAAACCAGCTGACACTATTTTTTCTCACTTAGTTGTATAGCCTTGAATATCTAGTGGGACTGAATCTCACACCAGACCTCAAGACCTCTTATATACGATCCATCGCAAATGGTTCTGGTAAAATAGTTGGTTCCTTGTACTGCTCCAGAAAGTATTTGGCTCCAACTGACTGACTTTATCTTTACAAGAGTCAGATGAGAAAAAAAAAAGTGTAGTATTTCTGCCATATCCGTTTTGGAGAACTACAATCCTCACTTTTCACAACTTGACAGAGTTCAAAAGCCGTTTACGCGGCTTTTTAGTTGATGAATTATTTTTCAACCTATTTTTCAGCCCTTTTTTCCTACAGATAAATTGTCACTAGCCTCTCGCTACTCTGTCACTACTTTCATAGTAAATGTTAAAACGACATGAATTTCTTTTCCAGTTCAGAATTGCACAGCTAGGAATACGGGGCTACATCCAGGTGACCTTGGTAAGGACGAATTTCCACTGAAACCGCTTTTTCACAAGAAATGTTACTTTTTGAAACAGACTCGTGAGAGGTTAAGCCCAATAACGCAACACCTTCAAATCTAGAGTCAACCATTATCTGTCCTACATATCGTCATAATAAGTATTTATTACTTTAATTTATTCCCTTTAAGCTCTTGCAATAATCTTATTCGGCATTGATTTGGAAGAAGAAGACACAATAGCAGCGAAATATTTAGTATAGTCAAGAATCAAGTGATTTTTTTTATAACTTATGCATGTGATTTAAAATCAGAAAATATTTAAAGATTGTGAGATGCTTCTGGAGATAATAATAATTTATTGGTTCATCAACACTAAATAACTCATAGGTGGGTGAGTACAGTTACGTTTACCAAGTGTATTCGAGCGCAAGTGAATATAACGAATCCAATGAGAATTTGAACCCGGCTCTCCGATTAACAATTCTGAGCCATTATTCATTACACCACCCGCAGACCCAAGCTTACAGAACGTGGTATTCCCAAGTGGTCACTCATTCAGTTACTGATCAAGCTCGACGTTTCTTAACTTTGGTGATAGTTCGAAAGAAAAAGAAATAATGTCGGATGAGCATATTTGTTTTGTCTTCCGTAGGGTGATTAATTTACAAGGAATTTACATAGCAAACTGTCTATTACATTTTATGAGATATTTAAAAATATTTTACTTTTGACTGACGTATTCATAGTGATATAAAAAAAATGAAAAATAAAATGATTATTTCTGTTTAAAGTTCCTAATATACAACTTATTTACCCTATACTCGTGTAGAAAGTAATTACATATATAGTGTGACACCGAGAATTCTTGCATGAATTTAAAACTCTCCAGAAAAAAAATTACCTGTGTATAGTACAATCTGTCACCGAAAATGCATGATTCTTAATACATTACCTGTGTATAGTGCAATCCTCTATTTCTGTGTAGTAAAATGTTCATCAAAACTCGTATTATACTCGAGTATTTGCGGTAATCATTAAAGGATAATTTTGTATATGAGCCAGTCAGCCAGTCATGTGCCATGCGTGATACACGCTTAGGTGATCATGTATCTTCCGATACATGACTCACCAGATTTTTCCCGCAGTAGGTTGCCATTTCTTTCTGCGGTAGACCAGTTGCAATCCAATGCTACAGAAGCCGCTCTTTCCTGCTACTTACCCATAAGGAGGAGAAGAAGAGGATTCATACCTTTCCCAATGATCATTTTATTACGCAAGTGAATGTAATGTATTCGAGTGGAATTCGAACTCGGCTCTCCGATTCCTCAATCCGAGCCGGTATCCTTTAACCCACCGTGCCAAGTTCGAATTCCAGTCAAATCCATTACATTCTCTTACGTGCTAATACCCTTCTGAAAGGTATGAATCCTTTTCTTCTCCAGGCTTTGGATAAACAGACCAGGTTCTATAGCTTTGGATAGCAACTGGTCTACCGAAGAAAGAAATGGCAACCTCTAACGGGAAAACATCTGCCTCGTCAGTCCTATATCGAAATGATCACCTAAGTATGTATCACGCATAACACATAACTGACCGATACGAACCAATTGTTCTTATTTCTCAAGTATAATTTTAATTTTGGTTTATTGAAAATTTACATGAAACTTAATAAAGATGAAACTGTCTTTTTTTTAGGTTGCTTGATTAAACATCCATAATAAATGCATCGATATAAATTTAAAAAAAAATGATTGAGTCAATAAATGCGACGAGTTAGGTTAACGATAGAAAAGCGAAGACCAACTACTTTCTCTTACAACAGTTCTTCGACCGTTTGATATTTCTTTTCGTGTTTTGTACAGAAGTACATATAGTGTAGGCACAATATTCATTATAGACAAACAGAACGAGAAATTTATATTTTTTTTTATTAAATCAGTCTGATCTGAAGCAAGTGATGAAACAGTAGCAGTGTAAACCTTCTACTGCTGTGAAGAAATCTTGGCTGAAGTCAGTGATACGAAACATTTTTAGAAAACCGGATGCCACTAACGGGCTTTGGCAAATCCCATTCGACGAAGAAAGTTTGTACTTACTCAACTTCAATACACCCCTCGAGGAATATTGCTTTACGGAATACATGCCGTCAGCGAAGTATTCCGAATTGACAGAGCAAGGCTTATTGAAGGTAGTGAAGGAAGTCAAAATTCCCAAGACAATATCACCTACCCAAGGACTGCATCTCAAGTGATTAAAACTTGTTTTCTATCCATTACATGAATATATATTTAGAGAATAAATCCAAGTGCATTTTAGTGTATATCTGGAGCAACTTATTACCTCAGATGTCGTCAGGCCTGATTCTTCTAAAATTAATACTAGACTCAAGAGCCACTCAAGGTAGAGAGTCACTGCGTTGTGTTGTATGAGCTAAAGAAAGAGCAAGAAATGAAGATCTGTGTCTGAAATATAAAGATTAAACATAGACTTGAAGATATCAAGATTGCAGTGATTGGTAAAACAGACCCAGTTGTAAGGATCAGGTTTGTGGAACTAAGGAATTTAGGTAGTCAAATGAAACGTCATGGAAGTGGCGACAGAGCAACGAGTTACTCGTCATATTTTGTCTGTAAGAAAGGGGTTGTAGTGTGAAAAATAATTCATCACCCATGAGGCCGCGTAGACGTTTTTAAACTCTATCAAGACAAGCAATTAAGAACTTTGCAACTCCAGCCTACATTTTTGGTCTGGTCTGGTCTGACACTTGTAAAGATTGAGTGCTGCAAGAGTGGAGGGTGGGGGATCAGATACTTATTGGAGCGGCATAATAGTTCAACCATTTTCCCACCATCTTTAGCAATAGATCGGATATATGAATTCCAAATGAGATCTGGGAAGAGTTTGAGTCCCAATAAACGACAATAAAAGACAAAAAGATATTGTTAATATTATCACAACTTGAATGCAAGGAGATCATGCAGCGATTTCTTTAAAAAGAACTGCTTTCTTAAAGAAATTATTGATCAAATTTACTGCTGTTTTATGTTTACTTTTTGTTGTGTACGATACACCTAATTTACATAAGTGGAGTACCGACCATATAAATATGGGTTGGTACTGGAAGACGGGGGTTAGAAGAAGACATCGAATCGAGAGACTCTGCCCGACTGCGATTTAGTCAACCGATTATGCAGGAACAGTCTTCCCAAGAATATACCAAAACTAACTGTAAATATTGTGTACCCTTTCCTTGTTTCAATACATTTTGTTAACGTACATTTTGTGTTGTATTATTATTATTCCATGCTTATCCAAGTTTCAACACTTTTGAAGACTGACATTGGATGTGCTGTTGATGAATCTCAAATTGATAGAAACATGGCTAATTAATAATTCACCACTAACGTAATATTATGACTCAACTACGCCTATTAATATACCTTCTGACTGATACAAACATATTAGGTTGAGGCATAAATAATTTCCGGTTTTGTTTATCAAATTTATTCTTAAAACAAGTACTATTACTGTATATTTCCGCATATAAGGCGATCTTTGAATCTTAAAAATTACCCCGAAAATAAGAAGTTGTCGAATACAGCAGTTCCAAAAGGCTAACCTTAAATTCTGTTGTGTATCGGCACTGATAAGTAGGTTAGAATATTTGGGCCATTAAACGGGTCGAAGAATGAAGTAGTTATTAGCATTTTCATAAATATTCATGTTAATACTTTATATTATTTAAAGGTAAGCAAAACATTTGCAATAACATTAGCTTAATTTTGTACCCGTAGGAATCATGATGAAAGGCTTAACTGCTAATAGCGGCGTAGGGTAACCTACGTTTCAGTCGTCTTATACTACGGGTATTAAATAAAATCATGACAATTTACTTAGATTTTGGGTCTCGTCTTATCTATAGGTTGCGTTTATGTGGAAATATACGGTACATTTTATTAAATTATAGATTTACTGTGGGTTGTTGCCATTTACTAGGAAATTTTACTTTCCAATAAAATAAATCTTGAATCTGGTTTCCATTTTAAATTTTTTCTCCATGTAAAAGATATATATATATATATATATATATATATATAACTATTTTAACAAGATTTTCGATAAAGAATTCAAATGTAATTTCGTTCATTTGTGAAGTAGTTTTGAAAATTTCATTAAAATCCTACAATTATTTGATTTTTGCAAAAATATCCAAAACAACGTATTTTTAAATAAAAAAAGACAGTACAATTACTGTAGTAATCTTTGAATCTTTGGCCCACCGTTGACCCAAGAAAAACAAGATTTTAACCAAAATTTTGAGCCTGCTAGAATGGATTAAAAATCTACTAAAATAATCAAACATACTTTGGTCTTTCCTCTTAATAACAACAAATATTTTGACGATAAACTTTTGTTATCATCAACAGTGTAACCTTTTTTTTATCATGCTATACTCTTTTTTGTCGAAAAAAAAGGGAGGTACCTACTTTACATGCTTACGCAATATGGTAAATGGTAGGTTCGAATAAATGCGTTCTAATCCATGGTGGAGGGCGACTTTGGAACGACTCTTTGACTCAGAGCTCATAGAGACCTCTTGGATGAACATCTATTCTAAATAATTGTCACATTCTTGATGGGTAATATGCTAGAAAAAAAATGCAAAGAAGAACGAAACTCATGCAGTAAATCAACTTGGTTCTGATTAAAACATTGTGTTCTCGTTTAACCGGCATGTTTACATTTGCCACGAACAAACCGCACAAGACGCGATCAGTGCGTAAGAATCATCGTGTCAACTCTGCGGTAAGCCCACTCTACAAGAAACTACAAGCCCATGGTGGCGCGCTGCTTATCGCTTTTCAATGTCACGCCGCGAGCCAACCGTTTTCCCGGCCTGCCCCGACCTTTTCACCATTTGACATTTTCTCATTCGAAATCTCGCCACTAGGCGGCGTTGTGTTACCTCCCTTCGCCGCCATTACCTACACTTCATTTTGTTCCACAGTCTTCCTGTTACTTTGTTTTCTATCACTTGCCTTAGACATGCTTCGGCTGTCAGTTGACAGACCACTTTCCCTGCAATGGTTACTGTGGGCTGGGAACGTGTGATTGTACGTTTCTATACAAAGTGATCTATCTGTCAGTTTTGGTCCCGGCTTCCTTCAATTACATCTCGCTCTGTTTCAGCATATTACTATCTATCTATCTATCTATCTATCTATCTATCTATCTATCTATCTATCTATCTGTGTGTGTCGATTTATATCCATCCTAGTTTGTTCAAATATCTCTCACTCCCTATATATATATATATATATATATATATATATATATATATATATATATATATATATATATATATCTCGATAGATAGATAGATAGATAGATAGATAGATAGATAGAAATGAACTTAATGAAGCTGGTGTTCCGACATTTGATTTATATCTATTTATATTCTTCTACTTGAATTAGTAGCAGCTTTATCATATCCAAATCTTTCGCTCTCTCTCTCTCTCTCTCTCTCTCGTAAGTTCAATGATATCTAATTCTTTATCTTACTCTCTCTCTCTCTCTCTCTCTCTCTCTCTATATATATATATATATATATATATATATATATATATATAGGGTGGGGTGGAGGTGGGAGGTGTGTGTGTGCATCGATCTCAGTTTGTTCATATCTATCTATCTATCTATCTATCTATCTGTAATTATCAATTCAAACCTGTCTACAAATCTTTTCAAATCTATCTATCTATCTATCTATCTATCTATCTATCTCTACGCGCGCGCACACACAGAAACACGCACAAACACAAACGCACGCACACACACACACATATATATATGTGTGTGTGTGTGTGTGTGCGTGCGTTTGTGTATGTGCGTGTTTGCAAAAAGCGTAGAGATAGATAGATAGATAGATAGATTTGAAAAGATTTGTAGACAGGTTTGAATTGATAATTACAGCTAGATATATATATATATGTGTGTGTGTGTGTGTGTGTGTGTGTTCACCATCAAATTATGTATCGGCAGTAAATACAAACACAATTGATCGTCGTCTGAACAGCATAAAACAACAAATACAGGCCTGTATTTTGTGTTTTTATGGAAATAGAATCAGATATTAAAAAAAACAGGAAAAATCCTGCGCGTATATTCAGAGGAATACCAAAAATCTAAGCAAACAAGCGAGCTCATTGTTTGAGGATACTGAACAGCTAAAAGAAGGTCTTTGAATGAAATGCTTGCCTGAAATATCAAGTGTGATTATTGACTAATGGTGAAAGCAGGACAAGAACGCTGAGCCTATTGACCTTCTCTTGGTTGTGTACGAAGCATTGTGGGAGAATAAAAAAAAAAGAAGATTCCTTCAGGTAATGTGGGTAGGTGAGGAACAGGTACACTCTCCCATTTGAATGGTCTTAAGCACTGGCAATGCTTCGCTGAACGCTCAGCCATACACGCAAACAGAGGCACAGGATAATGAACGTAAAACACACGAACAAAAAAAAAAATGCACACACTCAAGAAGAAAATACATAGACGTGTTTGTTCGGGCGCAGATTTTATTCAGGTAAACACACGCGTACAGACAAAACAAATGGAAGATCTTTATGGAATAATGCGTGGATTGAATGATACTGAAAAGACAAGGACAAATGATAGATGCATTGATAAATACGAGGATTGAAAGATATTAGACTGAAAATAATGACAGCCATGAATTGAAGGAGAATTAACGATAAACATCATATAAAAACAAAACAGACAAACGTGCATTGAATAATAATTTAATACTTTAAAAGAAAAACATATTGAAAAGTAGGTATTGAAAAATAATGAAACGCAAAAACTATATATATTGAAATATACTAAAACAGAGGAAGATCGAAATATACTGCAATAGAATGAAAGACAAAGACGAGGAAAGACAAATACAAGGAAGTACAAAAATAAGGAAGTATTCTGAAAGATATTAAAAAAAAAATGAAGGAGATATATTGAAAGGTTGTCGGAGTTAACTCCTCCTTCAGTTCGTAACCCTTTCACCAGGGGTCTCTCTTCCCTGGCTATAAATAGCCGCTGACCCTTCGCCTCTCTCTCTTTTTCCCTCAGGCCTCTGCGCCGACACCTGGAGGTAAATCTCTCTTTTTCCTCAGGCTTTCAACTTACAACCTCAAAATGTAGGCGATAACAAGGGATAGCGTTTCCCAAAAATGCTGGGAACACGCTAAGCACAATGCACAAACGCACATATATAATATTCACACACACACATACACTTTGTCCTTTGTAACTGTTTTCTATGTAACTTGTTATTAATATATATTTGTATACATATATTATCGGTCTTGTGTTTTGTTTATTTTCTTTGCATTCTTTGGACTTAATTAAAAGTCCAACTTTCTTGTGTAGTTGGACCAGCTAGCAGGAAAATCTGAATCCACACGTGTTCTTCCACGTCTACTCAACGACATAACAGCCACGGTCCACTACAAGGTATTGCACGAGAGAATGAGTTTTATTGAAAAACACTGAGACAGAAATACAATATCTGTCTATATTTCTGAGATGAGGTATTGTAACTATTGACACTATTTACATTGTTCGGCATGTTTTACTCATCTTTATTGTCACATTCGGCACCAAAATGGGCACCTCGATGCGGTTAGCAAGCTTGTCTTGCTAGAACAATTACGACTGTGTAGTGAGTTCGATCCATACTGGGTGCCCCATACTTTCGTCCTTGTGCCCATCTAAGCTAAACTTAGGACATCTCCAGGGCACCTCGGAGTGGTGTGATGGTTAGCAAGCTTCTCTCGCTAAATCAGTTACAACTGAATAGTGAGTTCGATCCTCACTGGGTACCTCATACTTTCGGCCTTGTGCCACATCTAAGCTACGCTTGAAAAATCACTATTCAGCGCCCAAATTCATACACTGTTGTCCCAAAGGATACATGGCACAATGGATATAAGAGCTGCTTGAGTTCAATACCTGGTCAAGCAGAGGTGAACTAAAGGGAAATAACTCAAACTGAGATATCTAGAAAAGGCATGGCACGTGGAACTAGAGCAATCTACCTAATAAAGTGGTTTTGTTGGAAATTCAAACGTATAACACTTGAAGAACCCCGCTATGCGCTATGCGTGATACACGCTTAGGCGATCATGTATCTTTCGATACATAACTGACGTGGCAGATTTTTTCCGGCAGTAGGTTGCCATTTCTTTCTGTGGTAGTCTAATTGCCATCCACGACTATAGAACCCAGTCTGTCCTGCTGTTTAGCCATATCTGGAGGAGAGAAGAAGAGGATTCATACCTTTCCCAATGGTATTAGCACGTAAGTGAATGTAATGGATTCGACTGGAATTCGAACTCGGCTCGTCGATTCCTCAGTCCAAGCCGCTATCCATTATCCCACCGCCGTGAATATGATAACAGCCTGAACAATGTAAATAGTGCAGAAATGCAATACTTAGTGGACTATGTTGAAAGACAGAAAAAAAAATCAATATGTATTTGAATATAATGAAAGGCAAAAAGAAGGAAATGTTTTCAAAGATATTCAAAGAAAATGAATAAGATGTATTAAAGGTATTGAAGGAGAGAATGAGTTGTATTGAGTAATATTGTAACAGAAATATATCTATTGAAATATGCTGCAAGACATATTTCAATAGATCTTTTATCGATTGGAATATAAGGAAATACAAAAATAAAAATATGTTTTAAAATAAATGCAAAACAAGATGTATTGAAACATAATGAATGACAAAAAAAAGAGATATATGCATAGATACTAACATGCAAAAACAAATTCTACTAAAATATAGTGGTTTACTAAATGTAGCTTAGAGGATTGCATATGGCCGAATGTATGGGTCACCCAGTGAGGATAGAATAGAATCCATTATCAGTCGTAAACGATCGAACGAGACACGCTTGCTAACCAATAAACTACGAAGTATCCAGAAATATATTGGGACATGGATATGGTGATTTTCTAGCTTAGATGTGGCACAAGGTCGAAAGTATAGAGTAACCACTGAGAATCTATATGATCGATTAGGAGACGGAAAGATCAATATGGATTGGAATATAAGGGGAGACAAAGAGAAGAAATGTGAATGAAAGTTATTCAAAAACCATGAGATGGGAAGATAGCGAAGGATAGAAAAAAAAGAAGTATTTGTACGGAAAGATGTGAAAATTGAACAGTAATGGAAATCATCGGAATATAAGGAAAGCAAAAAAAGCTATGAAATGTCTTGAAAGATTACTGAACAGAAAAAAAAAGCCGTATTGAAATTGTTGAGAGACCAAGAATAATGAGACGTATTGAAATATAAAAAGAGACGAAAAACTATGAAAGTTTTTGAAAGGGATACAATGGCATAAAGAAGATAATCATATGAACATATATATAGTAATCCAGTGAAGAATATTGATTTTTTTTAAAGCATTTAACCCCAAGCAAGGAGGGAGTGCCACTAGCACACAATGGGTTACAGAGAATGAGAGCAAGATAGAGGAAAAGAGCGTGATAGAGGAAAGGATGAAAAAAAGGACGGAGAATAGAACAAGGGATCTGGAGATGTCGATTGACATTGCATTTGAATAATTGAAGATTACAGCTATCAGGGAAACAAGTAAGAGGAAGGGAGTTCCACAGACGGGAAGTTCAAGACATGAAGCTATCGGAGTAGAAGAGAAGTAGATTGATTGATTGATTCGTTTTATACGGCTTATTAACCCCTTGCCGGTTATTTAAAATACATAATTTTAGATTGTAAGCAATTTTGGGGCTATAATAACGGTTTAGTGTTAAACGTTTTACTAATTAACCCATAGATAGAGGAGAATAGGTGGAATCATACCTTTGCCGAGGGTATTTGCCTGTAACTGAATATAACGAACCCGACGTGAATTAAAACTGAGGTCTCCGATTTCCAATTCCGAGCCATTATCTGTGACACCACTAGCACTTCAAAGCTTACAGCACCTGTTATTCCCAAGTCGTCACCAATCTAGGTACTGGCCTGGCTCGACGTTGCTTAACTTCGGTGATCGTTGGGAAATAGGTGTTTCAACGTGATACGGACGTAAGACCAGTGGAAGAAAATCTATGAAACAGTGAAAATATTGCAAACAAAAGCATAAAAATCACATTTCCAAAGATGCATTTATAGAAAACCAAATAGATAGAAAAATATTGAAAGTAAGAAACATTTTTGAAAGACACCTTTAAGGAATTATTCTAGAATACGATGATGTAATACTTTAAGAGAGGTACAATCATTAACAAACGTTTACAACCACTTAGCTGGTAACAAGGTTTTTTTTTCATGACTTGTATCATATGGGATTATCTGATGTTATAACTTTTTGTTATTGCATTAGCGATTATTCAGCCATGAGTTATGGTCAAAGCATTTTTGTCATTACGAAATTTACAGAAGTTCTGATAGTAATTACGTATGGATGTAAGGTTATAAGGTGAGCAGAAAATTCCCATTTTCATCTACACCAGTGGTTCTCAACCTTTTTTTACCCATGGACCCCTTTCCTCTTCTTTTTATCTTGGTGGACCCCTTCATAGCTATTGGACATAAGAACAATTTTCTATTCTTCACTAATATAAATTTTAATGTTTTAATTATCAAAGAAATAGTATACGATTAAGCTTTATTTTTAAATGAAAACTAATTTAATACAAATAAAATATTCTACTATAATTATAATAATAATTATTATTACTATTTTTAATTAACAACAATTGTGTTTTGCCTGTGGACCCCCGGAAATATTACATGGACCCCTAGGGTCCATGTAGACCCCGGTTGAGAACCACTGATCTACACGAACGTCCCAAATTGTGTTTCTACACGATCAAGGCTTTTCTGAACGTGAACTATATAATTATAAAAGGAGCTGGTGGCAAGACAACTAAAACTTCGAAAATTCAGGGAAGTTTAGAGATAAGGAGAGAAGTGGATATCAAAATAAAACCCTGCTAAAGTTGACCATTTGACGAATCCAATTGCGACACGATCTCCAACAATTGTTTGTCAGAAGATTCGAGCTTCTCTGCTTCAGAATACTAAAACTTTTAGTTCTATGTCAATTCCATATCGACTGCGATTTGATTTTGGTTAGAAATCATTTCGATCGATTTGTAAACTACAACGCCATGAAGCGGACAGATGAAAAGTTAAGCAAAGTTATGAATCTCCTTTACAACAGTTCGTTTTGCGTAAAAGAAACAGTAAATCCCCTGGTAAGAAATTTGATGAAAAGAATAGAATTCAGACTATTAATAAAGACAAAAAGAAAACATATCTTAGCCGAAAACTTTGTATTTCATTCCAGTTCATTTCGATCTTCCTTTTTCTTCAGTATATTTCAATGTATATATATATTTTTTTCATTTCAGTAATTCTCAATACATACCTTTTAATGTGTTTTTTTTTGTTTCAAATCCTTAATTTTTCATTCAGTACACGTTTTCTGTTTTCATTTTATATGATGTTTACTGTTCTTTGGCAACAAGTATTCCTATAAAACGGCAGAAAATGTTATTGGATTTTCAAAATTTTGAAATTAAGAATGCTCATAAATATTCAACAGGTTGGTCGAAAAGTCAGGCAAGTTATGGAGGACGCGATGTGAAGCAATTCAGTGTCTAATAAACGAATGTTAGTAAGTGATATTCATGAATATTTTTTAATGCAAATTACTAATTAAATTATTTTTGTTTGGGATTAATTTATGTGTTGTATCTATTTACAAACATAAAGTTATGAATCTTTTGATTTTTAACATTTTTATTCTCATGCATGTTGTCCTGGGAATTCTTTCGAGAATGGAGAATCTGGACAAAGTCATCGGCCCAAATTTATATTTTGATAAGATTCGATAGCTGTACAGGAGCATATTTTCATTCTAATTTTTAATAAATGTGTCAATATTTAGATCGAAGTTGTGATTGAATGTATTTCTATGTATGAATAATGCATTTGATAGATTGTTATGTATAAGATACATTTTGGATTATATTAAGCACCCACTAATCCAGAGGTTTTGGGGTGCTATATCCAAATATAGAACAGATTAAATCTACTTCTGTCCTCCCGGCACAAAAAAATGAACGGTGAAACGTATGTGAAAAAACATCAGAAGAATGTAGAACATCATATGCACATCCATCATTTCACGCTATTTATGCATAATGTTACACTATGACACCACCGGTCAAAGGTTGGTCAAAATATTTGAATAGGATCAATAGAACAACATTGGACTGGCCGGGGAGGAAACCAAATCAGAGCCCAATTGAACATTTATGTGAAATTATTGAAAGCAAAGTTGCAGAAAAACAAATTTCAAGTAGCCAAACACTGAGATAGGCTATTAAAGAAATGTGAACAAAAGAATTCTCGATTGATCATTGTAACAACATGATTCCCAGTATGCTCCACTGAATTCAAGCAGTAATCAAAAGCAAAGAAGGCCATAAAAATAATAACCACTTGACTATTTTGTTTGAAATGAACAGAGAACATCGTCATGTAGAAATTTGTGAGTAAAATTGCGTCAGTCTCTCATAAGTTACTTGTCCTTGTGTTGTATTTAACTTTTGTTAATGACTGCATATATATATATATATATATATATATATATATATATATATATATATATATATATATATATATATATATATATATATATAATATAATATATATATATATATATATATATATATATATAAATATATATGCAATACAGTATATATATATATACTATACACTATATATATACAATATATATATGTATATATATATATACATATATATATATGTATATATATATATACTCTACAATATATATATACTATACAATATATATATATACAATATATATGTATATATACTGTACAATATATATATATATGTATATATATACTATACAATATATATATATATATATATACTATACTATATATATATATATATACATACAATATATATATATAATACAATATATATATATGCAATACAGTATATATATATATACTAGACAATATATATACAATACAATATATATACTATACAATATATATACAATATATATATATGTATATACTATACAATATATATATATACATATATATATATATTATAATATATATATATATATATATATATATATATATATATATATATATATATATATATATATATATATATATATATATAGTAGCTGACCACTCGTATCCAGGAATGCTCGTCTATTGGGTGGGGCGGCAAGTTAATACCCGTTGTACACGCCTGTTCAGCCACATTTGTGTTTGTTGAACACCCACAGAGCCTGCCTGTGATTTATTCTGCAACTACGTTGAGCGGACCTTAGAGTTTCTATGAGAGTGCGCGTTACATAGCGTGATCAACAGTCTGAACAAGGCCCAGCACGCTCAACTCCTCGATCACGCTGACTTCTTAAGGATTCCCAAGGGTTCCGTCTGTTCAATTTCACTCACAAGTCTTAGATCAACATTTGTTATGGTTTCTGGTACATCCCCAAACTGCCGCACACTGGATTGCCCCCCACCCAGACCGATAGCATCAATAAGTTATCTTCCTAACGAATCGGCCATGGTGAGAATCGAACCCCGTTGTCATAAATCGAACATTATAACCATATATATATATATATATATATATATATATATATATATATATGTGTGTGTGTGTGTGTAAACGCAGCATATTTTCGTTCAAATATCTTTCACTGTGTAATATAGACATATTGGGTCTACATATTTTTATACTGAACCTTTCTAGTTGTCTAATCATTTTCTGGATGTTAAAACGTAATTTATTGAGGAAGGCAATGTAGTTTTTGTTAACCCAGGACTATATCATTCAATGAAATATATATATATTGCTTTAACGAGATATTTTTATTAAAATTAAAGTATGTAACGGTCAGCACCTGAAGATTGCGTTGTGCATGAAACTTCGACTCTTTTTCCCGGTGAAGGCTAATATATATATATATATATATATATATATATATATATATATATATATATATATAAGCAAACAACACAAATACACACGCATATTTCCTCTTTTCGGTTTTTGATCTGATGAAGCCTAGAAAGAAGAAACCCGTAATCAAATCTATTTAAAATAAAATCGTTATACATTTGTAATATTTCTTCAACATAAATATATAAAAAATGGACCAATGGATAAAAAACAATAACGACCTGTTTGACATCACTATGGGATCATTAGACTCTGCAGAGTCTTCTGACCTTGTTGGTCTTTTAATACTGTACAACTTAACGGCACACCGCGAAATTGATATTAAGGACATCGGACTGTATAGAGATGACGGGCTCATGGTGGTGAGGAGTTCTACTAGTTTTAAGATAGAGAAAATCTGAAAAATTATATTTAGTGAATTTAAAAATCTAAACTTAAAGATAACAGTCTCTTCTAATTTGAAAAGGGTAAACTTCCTCGACGTAACTCTAGACTTACCAAGCAACACATACCAACCTTATAGAAAACCAAATGCTAACCACTTATATATGCACCCGAAGTCAAACCACCCTCCATCCATAATTAAACATATACCCGCATCAATAGAAAATAGAATTAGCATTAACTCCGCTAACAAAGAAATATTCCAACAACACAATGTCTTCTATAACGCTGCCCTAAAAAATAGTGGTTATAAAAATGCAAACATTAACTATAGAGACAATTGCACTGGCCAAAAGAGAAATAAAACAGGAAAAGAAAACTCATTTGGTATACCCCTCCGTTCAACCAAATGGTTAGTATTAAACTAGGACAGAAATTCTTAGCTCTAATTGATAAACACTTCCCCACCAATAGTAGGTTTAGTAATATATTTAATAAGAACACCCTAAAATTGAGTTACAGCTGCACTGAAAATCTAGAAGGTATAATTAAAAAAACACAATAATAAGATCTTGAACAAACCCCCATGCCTGAATAGTATTAATAAAAGCCCTACACTTAAATCAGACAATAACACTGAAAAATTATGTAATTGTAGAAACCCAGATTTC